TTTCCTCTTTCTTCCTTTCCTTTTTCTTCATTCTTTCCTCTCCGGCATCATCTCGGCGTTACTGAAATGACATCGTCGTCATCGTCATCGTTCTTCCCTTTCCTCCTTTTCTCCTTCTTGCTTTTCTTTTTTATTCTTTTCTCTGACATCATTTCGACGTTACCAAATTGTCCGGCTAATGCCTGCCGCCAGCGGGCAGGACCGTTACGCGCTCTCCGTTCCTCTCTCGAACATTATAATTTATAAGCGCCCGCGCGCGGCACAATGTCGACCTATTTGGCGCGTACGGAAATTTATGATCCGCTTGACCCGCCAAGATCGAGACATCGACGGGAATCGATCTCGCCGGTCAGTCATAGATAATGCGGACAACTTGTTTACTTTCTCCCTTTACTCAGCCGCAACGACGACGACGACGACGATCTTTTCAATATCAAGCAGGATCCGTGTATTCAGACCACCATGTGCGAGGCGCTTACACGACGCAATTGTTTATGACTTGGCGAGCACGAGACGCATAGTACGCGCGCGGCAAGAATGGCACCACACCGATGGCAAAAATGCCGCGAGATATCTATCGTTTAGATTTATAGAGCCGTTCTCGTGTATCCGTCATAACAGGCTGACATTAACAGGATGATGGTGCGTTTAATCGATAGCTCGGCTACGAATCGCGCACGAGACGAGGCGATAGGTCGGCCAAGACGCTAAGACAATAAATTCCACGATGGATATTGCCGCGTCCGTGGCGAATTTCATTCTCTTCATTCCGATTATGCGCGCGCTCGCATCATGCATTCTTCATTTTCTAGACGCTCGTTCGTTCTTCAGCATCCCGCGGAGAGCTTCTGCTCAGAAGTAGAATCAGACTCGCGAGCCGTCGGCTCGCTATTGCCGATCGTTCCTCGTGAGGGACAAGGTTATCAAGCGGATTTTCGAGCAAAATCCCGACTAGACACTCATCCCATGCTCCTAAACAGCTTGATTCCAATCAGTTATGTGATTTATACATTTTCTTCAAGTGATATTGAGTCCCGATAAATTATGTAGTGCAACATGGAAAAAATCAGAACCTTTTGATATTAGAATCTTATTAATAACAAGAATTAATTACGATCTTAATAATCAGGAGTTTGTTAATAAATACACACTGTAAAAATTGATGTGTTAAATTTAACATTTCATGTGTCTCAAATCATCCGCTCTCATTTATATATAAATTTAACACATAACAAATGTAGTATAAAGTAACACGCATAATATATAAAAAATTAACACAAGAATTTAACACTTGAATATCCAGACTAGACACTCATCCCATGCTCCTAAACAGCTTGATTCCAATCAGTTATGTGATTTATACATTTTCTTCAAGTGATATTGAGTCCCGATAAATTATGTGGTGCAACATGGAAAAAATCAGAACCTTTTGATATTAGAATCTTATTAATAACAAGAATTAATTACGATCTTAATAATCAGGAGTTTGTTAATAAATACACACTGTAAAAATTGATGTGTTAAATTTAACATTTCATGTGTCTCAAATCATCCGCTCTCATTTATGTATAAATTTAACACATAACAAATGTAGTAAAAAGTAACACGCATAATATATAAAAAATTAACACAAGAATTTAACACAAGAATTTAACACTTGAATATCCCGACTAGATACTCATCCCATGCTCCTAAACAGCTTGATTCCAATCAGTTATGTGATTTATACATTTTCTTCAAGTGATATTGAGTCCCGATAAATTATGTGGTGCAACATGGAAAAAATCAGAACCTTTTGATATTAGAATCTTATTAATAACAAGAATTGATTAGGATCTTAATAATCAGGAGCTTGTTAATAAATACACACTGTAAAAATTGATGTGTTAAATTTAACATTTCATGTGTCTCAAATCATCCGCTCTCATTTATGTATAAATTTAACACATAACAAATGTGGTAAAAAGTAACACGCATAATATGTAACAAATTAACACAAGAATTTAACACTTGAATATCGTCAGGAATCACAGTTTGTGTTAAATTGATATTTGTATAATGTTGAATTATACTAAAATAAAACGTTACTTTAACATTTGAGAGAAGTATTAATCTACGTTTTGATGAAATGAAAATGTTAAATTGACATAATCTATGTCTGACATATTAAATATGTCAATTTAACACAACCTGTGATTCCTAACGGTATTCAAGTGATAAATTCTTGTGTTAATTTTTTCCATATTATGCGTGTTACTTTTTAACACATTTGT